CCAGTTCCCTGCTTCCTGACAGGCTGGATGGGCCCCCTGGCATGAGAAAATTGGTATGTGGGTGACCTTGCATGTTCGCTCCATGTTGGCTTTGGTCTGACTTAATGTGCGTGTCACGGGCTTAAGGGATAGTGCTCTGATCCCACCCTCTCCAATGTATCCTTGGATGGGCTTTGGCCTGTTGGAGAAATCCTGCATGAAAGCTTGCAAGAAAGGATAAGCAAGAAGTTCACTTAATGGTCAGAGAGTGGAGGAAGTTTCCAGAGGCTTAGGGCACAGGAGGGTTAATCAACCCTTGGCTCTCCCTCTGGCTAGCTGAGTTTCTCCATTAGCTCAACACCCGCCCTTCTGATTTGGCCTGAGGGGTGGAATGCCTGGGTCTCTGGGAATGTGGAAGAGATCCTTTCCCACAGGTGCCCCGTGCACAGATATTTATATCTGAATTGCTCAGAAGCCTCTGCAATTTGCACTTTCCAACAGCCACACAGGCTCCTCTGGCTCTGACAGCCGTCCCCTTGTTATTTAAGGTTGGGACAACTGGAGGCGAAAGGAGGTGTTGCTGTGCTGACATGCCAAGTATTAACAGCCTTAAAATACCTACAAGTTGTGAAAAATGTTCTTTTTATTGTAACCAGCTGTGCTGATATCTTGATTGATCTTCCCCATGGTGCTACGATAAAGGACTTTATTCTGTTTTTCTCTTTTATTTAAATTGCTCGCTAATTATTTCTGTCTGTTTTATGAATTATGTACGAGAGCAGAGGTCTGGCCAGGTTTGCAAAAGAGAAAAATGAGGGATGGAGAGGAGGTGATTTAAATCTGGGGAAGTTTTACAGTGATGGCAAATGCAAGAAATTAAACTTTGGCTGTCTGGCTATGTCCTTAGACCAACATGGCCACAAGGTTCTTTGGGTAGATGTGATATCTCTTATTAGACCAACTAAAAAGTTGGAAAAGCTGTTCGTTGCAAGCTTTTGGGCACAAATGCGCTTCTTCAGGCATAGAGAGAGTCTGAAATTAAACGGGGGGGCAGAAGGAAACAAGGGATGTGCTAATGCCCCATGGCATTGGCATTTCCTGAGCTTCAAAGCTCTGCCCACACAGTAAGTCATTAATCCTTACACAGCCCCTGAGAGGTAGATACTACTTTGCTGCTGCTACCTGCTCTGTTTGAGATTTCCAGGTCAGAGATGAGGGAGGAGGCTTGTGCCTGGAGTCCCTGCAGAGCCCATAATGCCTCAGGTGAGAGATCAGGCTCTTGCTGGGCTCATGCATCCTCCAGAGTTGCTTATTCGGTTCCTGCAGCAGAGCCAATTCTGCCCCTGCCAAGGTCCTTGCTTGTCCAGCCGTGGGGTTTGCAGGTGAACTTGGCCTGTGAAATCTTTTACGGATCAGGAGAAAAAGAGCTCAGGTTGGCTGTTCCACCGCAGGGTGCGTGTGCACAACTGGAAAGGTTTGCTTTAAAACTGAGCGTGTTTTAATCCTGGACATACCCATATGTGGGCCCTCACCCACGTCCAGGCCATGGGTCTAATTCTCTTCCAGGGAAAACAGTACATGATACAAAGATTGGGGTGGAAGGGGTGAGCTGCCCTTGGAGGAACTGCCAGTGACAGGGACTGCTGGGGAATATCGGGGGGCAGAAACCACTGTGTTTGCTTTGTATTATGACTGCAAGGGGTCATTCCCAGTACCCCTTAAAGTGCAGGAGTGTCAGATGCAGTGCAGCCGCACACAAGAGGCCTCTGAATGATTTCCTGCACCTGAAAGATGCAGCTTTCACCAAGCAACTCCTGCGCTGTCACCTCAAATCCCAAGCAGTAGTGAGGACTTCAGAAGTCCTGGTGTACAGCTGGTGGGACCCGAATGCGACGTCGCAGTCGCATGTAGCCGGCCACAAGATGGTAAATAAGGTGAGAGCTTCTTTACCGGAACACACTTGTAACCTCAGACTGGCCGCTGACCTTTTAATGAACACCCTCCGTTCTGTAATGAGTAGTGTTATGTAAAGCTCAAGCTGCTCTGAGGTGTTGATCACAGAGCCCAGTGATAACATGCTCTCCAAGTGTATGCTGCTTAATGACTTAACGGATCCCATTTGGAAATCCCCCCCCATTTTTTGTCTTTTTAATTTCCAGGTGGGAATCAAGTTGTTAGAATTCCGACTTCAAACACAAAGTTTGAGATGCCTCCTATCCTGTTCTTCAGCAGCTGCATGGAGATGATGCCATTGTTAAATTTTGTGTCTTCATTAGCCCTTTAAGAGGTTTAATGCTGTATTTAATGCCATGCTATTCTATTAAACACAGCCCAACTCCAGTGCTGGATTGACTTAGCTCCTAGCACAATGACTTATGCTGGTGGTACCTATAACTTTTGCCATTGGGTACTGAAATCCATGGTGGCTTCCCTTTTCAAGTCTTGTTTCAACTCATTGCTTTAGTCAACAGGGATGCTCTTCCTTTGCTTTTGATGAAGACTTAATGCTCTACTTTTGCTATGCCTTCCATTGGAGGGTCTCCAGTCATGCTATGAACATTGCTTAAGCCTTCAAAATACATACTTTTTTCCCAGTTTACAGCTGGTAGGAAACTAAGGCTCAAATTGGAAAGAGACTTGCTTATCTATTATAAGTGACGGCAACAGAGCTGGGAATAGAAGTCAGGAATCTGGCTCCCGCGCCGGTGGTCTAACCACGTCGACTCCATTTTCGTAACAGCAGTCAGAAAGGGAAAAAGGGAAACAAAAAAAAGACCACTTGTTCAGGAATAAAAGCAGCCAGAAGGCAAAATAGAGACACTGATAGCATGGGAAGCATTTGCAAATGAGATTTAATAGTAGATTTCATCTGACCAGCACAGCAGCAGTAGTTGGTGGGTAGAGACAGGGTGAGGAGGTTGATGTGCCTGTTATTCTGCCCAATATTGTCCTTTTTTTGTATCCTCCCATTTCTGTTTCTCCCCCTGTTGTCCCCATCTTAGATTGTGAGCTCCTTTAGGACCCTCCTTTATTGTGTGTTTTACACAGCATCTACTACAACAGGCTCCTAGGCACTATGAGAACACAATAAAGGAGGGAGATGGACTAGATAACCCAACTCATCTCATGTTTTTAAGTCACTTGTTGCAATGCCAGGATCTTGCCCCTGCTGTTGAAGTCCATAGAATGATTTTCCTATAGGTTTGGTGGAAAGCAGGTAAGTCTGTTTTGTGATGTATTGTAGAGAAGTTGCTCGTTTAATGCCTGGCTTTGCTACTTATGGCAGGACTGCAGTGGGGTGGAGAGCATCCTTCGCAGCTGCATTTGAAGATTTGGTGGCTATCCAGGCACTGCTACGCACGTGACCTGCACATCACAGTGCAGATAGATTGGAATCCGGATCCAGAACCATCTTCAGTTTTGCAAAAACTAGAATGTGGCTTCGGCTGTCCATCTGCGCTTAGGCGAGTGAAATGGAGGAGAAATGCTACTAGAGTCGGTGCTGGTATGTTGTGTTGAAGTGAGTCAAATCCGGCAGGGCTGCAGGATCATACACAGCCCTGCCTTTAGGGAGAGAAATGGCCAACTGCTGTGCCAGCATTTCAGAAACACTCATTCCTCAGGCTGATTTGCAGTTGTGGTTTAACTCAGTTTAGGACATGGGAAGTACTCCATATTGGTACACAGGACATGCAAGCTGACACAGAAAGCTCTTCTGCTGGCATCCATTGTGTTCTGGGGGGTCTTGAGCCTCTGGCACCAAGTGACCCAGTGGAGGCCACCCTGGGCTCAGCTTCGGTCTTGACTGGTGTGGGTTTTGATCCAGTTTCACTCTGGGATGAGCGGCACGTGCATTTTAATGGCTGTTCTTTGTGCCCTACTGACCTAAAGGTGAAAAGAACTATTTTGCAGAGCACTGTATAAGAACTAAATTAGTGATAAAGGAGAAGAGGGCAGCAATGGGTAAAGCTGCTGCTTGACGGATATCAAGTACCTGAAATCATAGTGAGCAGTCACCTGGGTTCAGGAGGCTATTGAGTCTTGCTGCAGAGAGGAACAAAGGATTGCAAGGAGTTTGTATGCTATGTGACCTTCCTTCCCAACACATGCGGCACCTTCCTATTTTTGGTGTGTGGGTTGACATATAAGTCTCCTGCTCCCATTGGGACTAGAGAGAGGTGATCAACCCAGTTTTCACGGCCCTGCGAGCTCCTTTGGTGCATGGGGATGGGTATATATGAAGACAAAGGATGAGTTCCATAAATGGCATAGCAGAGAATTGCATAATTTGCAGGTTACTAATTTAACATCGCTGCATGGATTTAAAGTCACCCTAGCACTCTCCGGTAATCTGGCTCTCTTCTGACCTTGCCACAACTCGATATGTTTTCAGGTTTTGATATGTTAACAGAGTTGAATCGCCTCACTTTAAGTGTATTTCATGCCTTTCAGACTTGCTGTATTTGAAAGATTAGCTTGGTTTTGAATGTTGTTGCATTCCTATTTCCATAAAGCAGTGAAGGGGCGGAAAATCAATGGGAAAATTGGGTGAAAAATGAAGTTTAGAGCAAGACTGAAGGACTGTGAAGAAAGGGGAATTATAGTAGTGCTGTTTATATAGTGTACACAATGCTCTCACTTTGTGCACACCTCGTTTTGGGGGTTAAGGAAGACGCTTTCCCTAAATTAAAAAAAAAAATGGGTAGAAAAATGGTTAAACTTCACTGTCTTTTTTTGGAAGTGGAGAGCAATTTGGTTAATGTTCTAGAAAACTCTTGGGTTAAAGTCCCACAAGACTGGGCAGAGAACGGGAGTGCTTGTGAGCTGTCTTATGTATAGCATTTTGATAGCGAATGATCCCCCTGCTTTAGAGAGGTGGCTTAATCATTGGTTTTCACATGCATGCCACAAATTAACCCTGCACCTCCCCACCCCCCCACTGTCCCTCTGATCCCCTTCACCTACCTGATCTGCTGCTCTGCTTTCTGCTTCCCATCTCATGTTCTGTGCCTGATCTCCTGCTCTGCTTTCTGCTCCCTGCCGTATCTGGCACTGCATCACCTGGCCCCTCCCCAATCTCCCTCATGCCGCACAGAGGCTGCCAATGCCATTTGTGGCACTCGTGTCTCAAGCTGGCCATCCCAGGTTTAGATGTTTCAGAAACCCTATGGTGATATTCTGTTAAATCTTATAGGTTTTAGAGGAGAGAGAAGAGTTTCTAATAGACCCTTCTTAATTTTCAATAAATTAAACATTATTGATTCCGTTCTTGCTTAACCCCAGGGGTAGTTTGTTAGCCAAGTATTAAAGAACTCCAAGCTCTTAATTTTGCAGCGTAGTCTGAAAAACTAGCTTTAGAGCTACCTGTGAACCTCCAGCTCTGCCGTAGTCAGTAATCAGAACAACTGCACAGGTTTTGCTGCCCAATTTTATAGGTAGGTGCTTGTTTGATGGGTCTTTGGGAAAGTACCTGACTGACCTCCGAGCTGTATTCGGTTTGCTGCTACTTGCTAACTTAGACAGCAAAGGAAAAAATAAACCAGGATCTGTAGTCACGAGACACACAATGCTCTCATTCGGACCCTGGATATTGCGAAGGATGTACAAGCCTCCTCGCTGATCATTGGGATTAGTTGTTGGAGCTTGAATCTTCATTAGGACAGAGCCTGCAGCAGCTGTTTGTAAGGTCTCCACTACTATCTTATCCCTCATATCGTGTGTGTCCTTTCCCAGCAGTAACTAATGTTTCCCTGGGAACGTGTCAGTGCCTGCTTGGCCAGCCGAGCTCTTCTGAGATATTGGTGTAACTGGGGAATTTGCTTTGCTTTAGGGAACAGCTTGACTTGCAGGCGAAAAAGGGTTATCCCGGAGGCCAAGTCCAGAGCTTCTGAGACGAGCAAGCAGCTTGAGCTTGTTTTTGCCAGTAAGTTTGCCCTTTCTCCTCCTCTCTTGGTTTTGCCTGATACGTGTTGTGTTTGTTACAGAGGTTGGGGAAAAGCATTGAAAATACCAATATAGAAGTGGCACTGACTAGATAAGAGAGTCAAACATCAAGGATGAAGCATCAGTGTAAGACAATAGAGCTCAGCCTTTCTGAGGATGGGAGACGGCATGCTAATGGCTAGGTCCAGCTCCCAGCACTGGAGCATCTTTCTGCTAATGACCCAATCCAGCTCCCAGCATCTTTATGAATATCCTTATTCATAAAGATGAAATCGTCTAAAGTCTTGGGGCAATATGAGAAAACCAAGGTTTCTGTTGTCTACCTAATATGCTACAAATACAGTGCAGAGGACTTGTGGAGGATTAGTCTGCCTCTAGCATTTGGCAGCAGGGGTTAAACAATTATTGGTGTATGTTGTGTACACTGTTCTCTGTAACCACGATCTAACTCCCGTGATGACTTCTGGTTCCACCTGCCCGTGGCATGGGAGATGTGCCTGAATCCAAAGTTCAGGTAATTCAGTGCTGTGTCTATCCTCTGTAAGCAATGAATTTGTGCATTTAGAAGACTTCAGGCTTCTTATCTATCTTATCTGAAAGGCAGGATTGCCAGGCCATTGGTTGGCGGGGAGTTTGTGGATTTAGGGTATGTTTGCGCTGCTTTCACCCTTGTGACTGTAGCTGATGCCGACATACCCCGGCTAATTTTAAGAGCTAGCTCAGATACTGGTAACTCCTGGCTGAGAGCAGAGTTGGGGGCAAGCTCAGTACCCCAGGATTGTCTCAATTTCTCTTGGTGGTGGGGGGGAAAGGGTGGGTTGTTTGCAGCCCTTGCTGAGCTCTGTGCTACCATAGCTCGGGCCCTGAGCATGCCAGGTTTCAAAACCAGAGCAGGTGCCTCTCCACGAGCTATTGCTTTCAGGGAGTTTGCTGATCCAAGAACTACTATGGGGGAGCTGATGGCAGTCTCTCTTCTGTCCAAACTATTAAGTTGTTGCACTTTTTGGGTGGTTTTTTTGACTAACCCAAATAATAGTGATGAAGCAAGTGGGTCGAGACCCAGATCTCAGCTCGGGGAGGAAGCTTTGCAGTAGGTCTGAATGAATGGTCTGAACAGACAGGATTGTAGGGAGAATCTCGTTCCACACCTTTAATCCTTTGCTCCAAGATCAGTCAGGATTCCCAGTTCTGGAGTAGAGAGATGGGTAACAGCACATCGGCATATGGAAGATGCATTGATGTAACATTCCCCTTCTCAGACAGTGGGTAGGGTAACCTGTCTGCAGCAAATGCATCCCCTTTTTGAAGTGGGGATCTGCTAGTTCTAATAGGACTCACCTTGGAGTGAGGAGAGCATCTTTTCCAGGTGTAAACTTTGAAACCCCTTCAGCTGTTGCAGAAGTTACACTTTGTAGATCCCAAGCAGTCAATGAGCATGAACAGCATCGGTTACCATCTTTCCCTAGAAATGAATTAATCAGAAAATCTTTCCTTATTTCAGAAAAAGCTTGGGCTATGTTCTGAAAAGCTACGCCTTGCACAAGTTCCAGCCCAGCTAAACTACTCAGTGAGCAAATGAATACTAGGGTTTGAAACCATTTCCACAAAAAATATTAGTTCTCCCAATTAAGCATTTGTGAACTAACAATAAAACCCATGACTGCAGCATCCCAATTGCAGTTGGTTCCAATTAAACTCAGCGTGGTGTTCTCAGTACCTGAGTGTCAAGTCATTTATTTTAAATTGCCTTATGATGGTAGTAATCTGATCAACCAGCCACCACAATATTTATTTAGTAGCACCCAAGGAACGATGCTGTTTATGGGCGTGTTGATAAATAACTGCTGAAGCCTGTTGGAAAACCCTGGAAATGTAAAAATTCAATAAACCAGTAACACTTCCTACCTGTCTTTAAAATATCCCTGGTTGCATGTTTATGGGCACCCAGCTGGTACAACCAGCAAAACCAAAATGCTTCTCCAAATCCCCAGATCAAAGCAGTATTATTTTTCTCTCTGCTCTTTCTCATGAACTGATTTAATTTGGGTAGGAGAGTTTTTGTGTTGCAGAGTTTTTGTTTTTTTTGTTGTTTTGTTTTTTTCCTAGGCTGGTTTATTTTCAAGCATGATTATACAACTGCCCCCGCAATAACCGATCATTAAGCACCCTCCAGAGTTTGCAAGCCTCTCGGATGCCTGGAGTTTTAAAAATGGTGCATGCGGTGACTCAGTATAATGGTGATGGGTAAATGTGAGGCATAAGATAGCAACAGAGAGCTGGCTTAAGTGTTGGGGGATGCACGTGTGTGCGTGCATGCACGTGTGTGCGTGCATGCACTTTATGGGGAACTTAATTGGCTGAGAAATACTGAAGCCCAGGGCACAGCTGTGTGAGCACCAGATGTGGGGAATAGGGAGCCCTGAGTTCTGGTCCCAGGTCTTCTCCTGTCATTCTGCATCCCCTGAAGCAAGTTACTTCATTTCCCTGGGCCTGTTTCCAGCCTATGCAGAACTGGTACAGGAACCCTTTCCTGCCTTGGCAGGGGAGCTCTGAGAGTTACTCAGTGGTGGCAAAGGGCTCTGAGCTGCTCTCTTCTCAGCCTTCCCTGATTGCATTTGGTCCTGCTTATCCTTCTGTGGTTGTGCTATGTTTTATCTTTTCAGTGGGAGGCTGGCACCACAGGGATGCCATCAGCGGGGTAGAACATTATAACCCCCTCCAGCATGAATGGGAACTGCTGGGCTCTGTCTCTCGACCACACCGTGGGGCAGGAGTGGCTTCTCTGAAAAACTGCATCTATGCCATTGGGGGCTATGATGGCACGACATGTCTCAGCAGCGTGGAGAGGTAATCCTGTCAAGCAGGAGCACAAGACTAGAAGACAGGCGATTGGAGCAGGAAGGCGAGGGATTGGCATGTTCTTTGCATGTGCAAAGGAAAATCTCTATGTAGGCATGCTAGCTGGGGCCTGGCATTCATTGAATCATAGAAAATGAAGGTTGGAAGGGACCTTGGGAGGTGACATCTAGTTCAACCCCCTGCTCAAAGCAGGACCAGCCCCAACTACATCATCCCAGCCAGGGCTTTGTCAACTGGGCCTTAACCTCCAAGGATGGAGACTCCACCGCCTCTCGGGGTGGTTCTTGTTTGCAGGAACTGCTGGAAACTGCAGACTTTACTTGCGATTTTGGATCACGCATTCCTGGATCAGACCCGTGGTATGGGCCCAGGTGGTCTGAGCCACCATGACTACGTTGTGATTGTTGCCTGTGCTGGACAGATTAAAAGTAGCCCAGGTAATGTTTGTAGTCACAACTGGGTGCAGTGTAGACAAACCTATGTTTCTTTTGGGGTAGTAGAAAATAAATAGACATTTGAACACTTTACCTTCTTCCTCTCTGTTTGGGTTTTGGATCCATGCAGCAATCTCCAAATGAGACTTTGGACTTGGAAGCACTGCCCATTGGATAGCTGTTTAAACATGAACTTTGTTCCTTCGTGGCCCACCTCTATAGTCTCTATCCTGTGTTAAGTCATCAGACTGGTCAAGTGGGTTAAAACCAGACCTTGAAGTTCAGAAGGTTTCTGAGGCTTGAAATGCTTGAAACTGTCTCTCCGAGCTGAAAGGTGATGCCCAATGATCTCTTGCTCCCATTGCTCACAGGTTGAGCAGAGTGTAAACAGTCTCCATCAGGAATCTGAGCAAGAGCAGAAATGATCATTGAAGGGTAAAATAGCTCCTAAGTATGATAAACATATTGATGGGCTCCAAGAATTAGATTGCGCTCTTTTTTTAAACCACATAATCTTGACTTCAGCTAAAAGCATAGCGATCAATGGCTCCCTGTCTAGTTGGCACCTGGTCTCAAGTGGAGTGCCCCAGGAGTCAGTTCTGGGGCTGGTTTTGTTCAATGTCTTCATCAACAACCTGGAAGATGGCATAAAGTGCACCCTCAGCAAGTTTACAGATGACACCAAGCTGGAGAAGAGTTGTTGATACACTGGAGGGTAGGACTAAGATGCAGAGAAACCTTGACAAATGTGCAGAATATGAACCAAAAGTGTGCCCTTGT